GTGCCCTGTCAGTTCCGAGGTTGACTTCAACGTCCTAGGACACTCTTGCGTGTCCGTGGTATGTGCCAAGATCTCTTCTTGCGATAAGAATACGCACACATTCTCGAACAGTCACCGGTACGACGTACCTGTGTTTCTCTTCTCCAGTTGTTGCTTCTCTTCTATTGCTCGTGTAGAGACAGACCCGAGAGAGAGAGCGAAAGAACGCGCGCGGGGGGGGGCTATACTTTGGTAGGAGTCACAGCAGTCCCATCGTCCACCAGCTGTTGTTGATGTGGTTTATGTGAGCCTCTGGTGTAGATGTACGTACGTACGTCCTACTCGAGGTCCCCTGTCCAACTGTTCCTCCGCTTGCGCTACGGATCTTTCCGCGCAGTCCGCGCGCACCCGTATGTCACTGCCTGTACTTGCACTGTTCAGTAGCATGCACATGCCCGCGTACCACATAAATATCTACTCAACCGCCCAGATGATTGTTTGTCGTCTCACGCCCGGGGAGATTCCCCGGTAGCGTGTCAGTGCTGTACCACGTCAGCACGCCAGGACAAGACTGTGTCTGTGCCACCGCCTATAGTCAGGTCGGTTCTGCGTCATCAGGGCTGGTGTGCTGTGCACACTGCACACCCACCCCTCTTCGCCCCTCCTCTGTCACTTTTCTCCTTTCGCTCTCTTCCGAGAGACCACCGTTGGCTCTTCCTAGAGAACTACTCCTGTCCCGCAAGTCTGTGCACTAGCGGCTCCCCACGGTCGCTCAGGATAAGGGTGACCTATCTCAAACCGACGGAAGGGTTTTTTAACCTTCCCTTGACTGTGTGACCAGCGGAGGAACAGTTGGACAAGGGACCTCGAGTAGGACGTACGTACAGCTACGCCAGAGACTCACATTTACCCGAATCGGAATGTGACCAAAAGCAATTCCGCCGCACCTTGTCGTCTCAGAGGACCACAGATAGATAGCAAGGGAGGGCGAAAATGAAAGAGGGGGGGGCAAGTAGAGAGAGCAGAGAAGAGAACTTAAGTGAGGAGCATAGTTGTGACCGATGAGTAGTACAGGGGCACATCAGGCGGAGCAGGAGGCCCGACCAGGCGAGGACGTGCATAGTATGTGCTGCGAACATCAACATGTTTTTCAAGTCAGTGTAAAAGTTGCAGTGCAGCGTAGTGTACTTACTATACCTGAAAGCTCAGCTGCTGGGTCAAGGGGTACAGTTAGGAGGCGCTCCAAGGCACTAGACTACAAGTAAGTGCACCTCGAACAAGTTCCCCGCAAAAGCGAAACCCGTTTCAAGGATAAGCCGCAAACTGTTGCTTCATGAACCCGCGGAGCTACAATGACAGCGGGCTTGGCGGGCTACTCACAAATATCGACATCTGCTGTCGGCTCACGTTGCATGTCGCCGTCTCGTTGCTTGCAGGAGAGCCTGTGTGGTCGCTGTGATCATTGCCCTCAACCAGGCGTGCGACGGGAAGAAATTGTACACCAGGACGATTTCAGCTGGCATCGTTGCACCTCCTCTGTCTGGCATGCCGAAGCACGTTCACTTTGCACTACTTGACGGCGGACAGGTGAAAACGCGTACCAGTCAGTCTCTGTTAGATGTATGCAGAGCGATGATGCTGTCGATGATGCTGTCACCGAGGCGCAGGGGGCGGGGAACAGAAGCCCCATGGCAACATGGGTGCCTGCCTTTACGGTGCACGAGGTGACGTAGGAGTTGGTGGGTTCGACGCCCCGGTGTATCAGTTCGTACGTATTGAGCGTGGAACCCTTCTCGCCTTTTGGACGACGCATATATATGTATGGCCCGGCGAGATGAAGAGCCTCACTTTCGGAAAGATCTTCAACCTGCCAGGTGACCCAAGTCCTGTGGTCAACATCGCTTCAGCGGCTCATCTTCGGTAACCATGTCGGTCAGTCAATTGACCAGTTCGCTGCAATTTATAGCTTTCGGGACAACTATACACGCGCGCGTCCCTAAAGCGGGGATGGCTGAAAAAAGGAGTTGGCTGCGACTTGGGAGAGACCACTGATCGACATGTAACCCTGACTCTTCGACACGCCAATTTTGGCATGGACAAGTGTGCCGTCTTTGGGGGGCCGCCTTAGGCCGACTCTTTGGTTGCTGGGCTACCTTTCCGTATGTCTCACGGAAGAGGACCTGCCTTTCCGACCTATCTATCTACCCCTGCCACGACCTTCCTTGGGACTCCTCAACGAACGTTGTCCATGGAGGGACCCCGAAACAAGAATGACGATATATATCCACGGTCAACAGAATCCTCGCAAGTAGCCAAACACCGACGCGTTCTCGGTATCTTCGAACGGTAGACAGTCAGGCAACGGCCGCCCGCTCGAGGTGGAGAACAAAGGACCGCGTCTCGATCGCACACTGCACTATGACACAAGTTTGTTCTTCGAACATACATACATGCAGACAAACCCGCGGGGAGACGAAACGAAACTTTGGATTATATATGGCGATCGCGCACGCTGCAACCTGTCATCCAAGCACCGCCGTTTAGAGCGGTCGCATCTCCGGAACAGAGTGAGAGACAACCGGGCGGATGGCATGGGGGATCGACGGAAGGGAAGTCGTGCGGGACCACAGACCTAAGGCACTCAGAAGACACCATGGCGTTGGGGATGTCTTGGCCTCTCTCACTTTCAAGAGATGGCGACCAGGCCAAACAGCAGCTTGGGTGGAGAATCACACACACGGATCACCGAACAAGACGCCAACAACGGCTCGAGGAAGAAACCTTGGAACAACGCGTGGCCCCGCAGGATGGAGAACCGCCTCCTGACCGGACTGGGATGCAAACCTATCTGTGGTTGTCACACGACGCTGGCCGCATGGTGGGTCGTCTACCACACGAAGTCATGCCAACGCGACCCTCATATCGGCCTTGCGTTCTTGCGCACCCGTCCTCCATGTACGGTCCCCACGTGCTTTCGTCTCAAATTGTATACAACTACGGACCACTCACTCCGTTCCTGTCGGTTAGCAGGGGGGTGGTGACACCGGCTAGAAACGATTTACCAAGACATGCTGTCGATCTCCGTATCGTTTGGCTTTGTCCCTTTCCCCTGGAGCACCAGACGACCCGCCGACTTCGTTCCGGGGCTCGGGAGGAGGGGGTGGTATCTTCCGAATCACACCAATTCCATACCGTCAAAAACGTCAGTCTCGTCAGTTCTCTTTCTCCTCTTCGTCGTCATCGTCCTCCTCTTCCTCATCCGAATCGTCCTCTTCGTTCGAGTCGTCTGTTGAAGAAACTTCACCTCGTCGCCGCGCTATCCGCCGCCTATTTTCCCGCCGCCTAGCGAGCCTGTTGTTGGTGTTCAATGAGTGTTATCGTGTGTTTCATCGGTGGCGGAAAAGAGAACAACAACTTTCAGTGTGACTTCCTGTCTTGCAAATCGAAAATAATGGCCTGGGAGGATGCGGCCGTTGACACCCCCCCCAACAAGGCCATTGGCACACTCCTCAAGAAGCCACAAAAAAATACCCCTGACTCTCAACCGCAGTTCCACCCAAACGCACTCGAAGCCCGACGACGATGGGTGACCTTGTAGACTAAATCGGGCCACGTATTGGCAGTAACCTGAAACAGGTCTCCAACCTGAATGTTCGCGTTTTTCCGATCGAACTCACCAATCATCCGTCGAACTGCTGCCGCTGGCACTCGCAGCATCGTAGACGGCACCACCCCCTCGTCTCCGAAGTAAGCTCTGGAAGATGTCGCTTTCACTACCGCTGCTGGTGCCAGCCCCATCATCGCTACCGCCATCACTGCCACTGCTACCGCCGTCAACGAGGATGTCATCGCTATCTCCCGAGCTGCCGCCGCGCGCGGTCCATCGGGAACGCCCGTCCTCAAGAAGATCGTCGCCCTGCGGCCCAAAACGACCACAGATGCGGGACGGTGAAGAAGTAGTGTCAACACTTGAACAGACTCGGGGGTGCACGAGAGAAACATGAATGACGAAAAGGGTGGGCGTTGTCCGCCACCGGCCGCGTGCTCGACTAAGCTCAGGAACAGGCTTCGGTCGAGCTATCTCCCTTAAAATTGCGCGCCTTGCGCGATAGCCGCTGGGGCAACCATTTGGTGCATTCTTTTGTCATACTTTCAGGATCTGTGTAGAGTGGGGCAATGCATGAACAACATCCAACATCCAGCGGTGTTGTTCCATGACAAAAATCTGGCGTCCAAGCCCAAGTACGGTTGTACCGCCATCCACCACCCTTAACCCTTGCATCCAACACAACCTAATGCATCCGGTCTGCATGATCAGCAACCTGCTTTAACTTGAGCTAACCCTACACCAAAGTGCCGCCCATACCTTTTGCCTTACCGGGGCCATTACTCTCAACACCCCCTCACTCTTGAAACCAACCCTGGCGTCCACCATCAACGTACGTGCATCACACCCCATGAGCTGATTTTCAAAGCTAGATTACTCCACAGCAGAATGAGTGGTGGTGCCGAAAAAGGCGGCGTTGGCACCGTCTCGTCGAGAACTTTCCGAAAACACATATTTTGGATCATGCATCCTTTTCGTCGTAGACCAGTCGAGCTCCGAAATCGGCCCAGGAGGTGTGATATCTTGTGTCATCCACGGTATTCGACTCCATCGGAGTCCATCGGAGGGATTGGTGTGTGCCCGCCGTCCCTGCTGTAGAGTCCCCACTGTGCACAACAACTTGACTAACGAAACGAATTAAGCCTAAAGCCTGAAGCCATCGTGGCCTACAACAGTATGCCGCCGCTATCCCAGATCACACTGCTTACCCCGTCAGAGTGGTCCGCGTCCTCCCACTCTTCGTCAGAGTCTTCGGACATGGCGTCGTCCAGGTCGGAGTCAGCCTCGTCAGGGCGCTTGCGACCGATCTAATTAAAAACACGAAACAATGAGGGAAAGCGCCATCCACTCTGAAATCGATCTATATTGCTGAGGTTTCATTGGTAGCTCGGTTAGCATGTTCCAACATTAAGCACACGCTCACGACTGACGCCAACGACAGCAGCTGGTTAGCGCGGTCGGTGCAAGGTACACGAGACACACACAAGCAGATCAAAGTACGCAGGCGATGCACGGCCGGTTCTATAGCAGTCAGCCAGATCGGAGCCAGCCTCGCCAAGACGGCGTCGCCCGACACATGAAATAACCAACAAGAAGAAGCACCGTGAAGAAGAACCGGTCGAAAAACGTGAGAAACGCGCACGGCCAAGACTTCTTGGGCAGTCGGCAGAGCGGGTGGGAAGTACGCGCTACACTCAAGTCCAGAAAACGCACAATTGATTGGTGTTGTCACAGCCACTATAGGTGTGTGCGCCAGAAGCGTGCGGGAGTGGCTTCGTTCGCAGCTGTCATGCATGTTCGGGTAGGCGTGCATGCAGTGCAGAATGGTGCGGTGCTATGTATGCCATGAGAGTCGCTAGTTGTGCGCAGTCGCAACATCGTGCATTGTACACGAACATCGATGCATTTTCGATGCTAAACAAACGAGACGGTTCAACCCCAAAACACTCCACAAAAAAAGGCCACTTCGGGGTTGTTGCCCGTAGAGCCTTACAGGGAAATCCGCAACAGATAAACGAAAAAACTTTGTCTCTTGGTGTGTCTTGCCGGCAACATGCCAAAATTAATTACGACATGATACGCCCAGCCGACCGCACACCCCTACGCCAACATTAATGTTGAACGTGGGATGCATCCTGTCGTCTCTAAGGGTGCATCGACAACCGAGAACGCGAGGCGGAGAAGCATTGTGTCAAGGGCACGATGGACGGTGTCCCTTTCTTCGATCTCGCGAGTATGCTCTGTACGGTTAAGGTCTTCCACCGCGCGTGTGGGACGAACATTGATTTGATCGCGTGGACGAACTCCCCGCTGTCGAAGCTTCCCCCAGTCATCATGGCCGTATCCTACCCCCAGCAGTGGCCACTGATGCGACGTCAACAGCGGTATGACCACAAGTTCAACCGCTGGGTCATCAGGCACGTCCAGTGACCCTATGTAAACAACACGCCTACGGCACAGTGGCTGAAATTACATATGCACACACCCGTCTCTGCCCGTCCGTTTTTTACCTCATACAGCGAGCACACGGTGTCCACGGTGTTGAGCAGCGGATCCGCCCGTTCCACAACGGAGATGCAGCTGCCATCACCGCCCCCATCATCCGTCGATAGCTGGGCAGGACGAGGAGAACAAGACGGTACGCCAGATGTCGCCACCACAGAAAATAGCCGGGTGGGGGGTCAGCAGGGTATCGAAAGAGGTTGACACTCGTATGAGCCGGTCTTGATTGCCATTGGACTCATAGAAAGTTGAACGGTTTCGTTACGCCCGACGACAGCTGTGAAGGGTCGTCGATGCTGCTGCTGCTACTGCTGCGGCTGCGGCTGCTTCTGCTGCTGCTGATGCTGATGCAGCCGACGACTCTTGCCGCAGGATGTGAAACACATCGTCGCGACTATGGCTAAGATCACGACCATCTTTGCTGCGATGAAACGTCGGGCCAACGAAACAGTCCCCATCATTCCAGCAGCATGTGCCGTCACCACAACATGACAAACCTTGGAAACGTACGTTCCTGAACCCCAACACACGTTCGGAAGAACCTTTGACCTTAGCATGTATTTACTGCGTGAAAGTCCGGGATCAACTGGCGGGAGAAAACAAATGCGGCGACACCCACCACCACAAGAATTACACCGATTCCAACGACGGAAACACCGACAAGAACAACGCCGCCGCCGCCGCCGCCGCCGCCGCCGCCGCCCACAAAAGCAACACCTCCCAAGAGAGCTTCGACGAGGTGCTGTTACACGTTAGCAGGGTAGGATCTGTGAGCGCAAAAAACTGTTGTCGGCAGTGAATTCCTGACTACTTGCCTCTCTCTCCTGTTGGAAGTCGCCAGTGTTGGGTAACAACAGGCGTCTCTGTAATATCCGCCACGCGACACCCGAAGATCAAAATATAATAGCTGACCTGAATCACGGCCTTCTCCGTGTCGTGCGAGTGGATCTGGTCGTAGGTCGACGAGTCAAGCACACCGAAACACGTGTCTTGGGCTGCACGCTTCTGCGGCAGGTCGAAGAAGTCTCCGGCTGGCGCTGGTCTGGTGCGTGGAGAGGTGGTAACGGCATGGATGAAGGGGGTGTGCGCATTTCTTTTTTCGGTGGGGGGGGGAGGTGTACTCATGTAACGCATGCCGTAGTCCGTAGACCATAGACCTCGCATCCCTCCAATGCCGGGACGGAGCGATATGCTGTGGATGAAGGGGGGGGTACTCATGGTCGTGCAAGAATCGACAGCGTAGGCAACCACGTTGGTAAGGGCAGTAACAGTAAGAACCATGGGGGAGACTTGTCGAGCCTTCCAGCAGGTGGTTGGAGAGGCCGAACCCTCCCGGCGGGGGCAGTTGGCGTTGGGGCAGTCAATTGGCATGAAACACAGCTCGAGATATGGCTTAAGACTGCGTGCTGGGTTTTGGACATTAACTGGTGGAGAAGGAGTCGACATGAACGATGACGACGGCGTCGACAAAAACCGCATCAAAACCACTACGAAGAGCAACAACGACGACACCCGGAGCGGCAACAGCTGCAGCACCCACACAGTACCGCAAGCACCAGCAAGCAACGTTGCGACCAAAACGCGGTTTTCTCCCACCCACTGCTGTAAAGAGTTCAATATGCCCCCTTTGACTGTGGTTTTCTCTCGAACGGGTAAGTCTTTTCTGTGATTGTATATTTTCTGAAAAGCATCACACACGGTCAACTCTAGTACCGGCGTTTGAATGCCAACCCGGAGGAACAGTATCGGCACGTCCCCTTCGACTGTGGTTTTCTCTCGAACGGGTAGTCGTTTCTATGGTTATACGCATATTTTCTAAAACGCGTCTCTCCAGGTACGTACTTGTAGGTGTATAATACGTCGCCCCCGGGGTCCGGCTTCATGACAGTCCCGTCCTGGCAGGGCAGCGTCCGGAGCAGGCGGTGGGTCCTCAGGTCCCACACTCCTTCGTCTACCACGACCTCGTTGCCGTTGGGGTGGAACAACCCGAAGCCCCCGCCGCCACCGAGCTTGTCGAACTGATAAACGCGGAGCTGGTGTCGGTGGGCAAAGAGATGGCGGAGAGGCGTGGAGGGCGGGGAGAGAGTTCATGAACGGCTATAAAATGTGTGTGTATGTGTGTGTATGTGGAGTAGCCGGTCACAGGAGCTTTGCGCAGTAGCAGTTGGTGACCCGCTGTCAAAACAACGCTGGTAGTGCACGGAGGTCAACGGGATGCAGGTTACTGACAAGTCAAGACAACGCGGGAAGAAAAGGCAAAAAGGAGGTTTCCAAACACAAAAACACAGGGCTTCGGCACCCGTAACCCCCGAAGATGTCGAGCAAACTACCGCAAACGAAGGTGGGAACTTAGCACAGCACCGCAGTGACGGTACTCAAGAGCACCTTCCTCAGAACGCCACTATGATGGGAACGTCGTGTGTCCATTTACACACCTTGGCAAGGTGAAGCGATCGCTCGATTCATGGGGAGTCGATAGACCTATGCATACTCAAAGACAAACGACTCTAATAAGACGAAGTCGGGGGAAGTCTAAAAGCAATCCTGGAGCGTGCCTTGCCAGAAAGTTGAGCCTGAAGAAGGACAATGAACTACGACACACCAATAGTTTGGTGTGTTTTGTTTTGGTCGGGCATTTTTTTATTCTCATTTCGGACACAAAATCAGTGACGTCACTCACCCCTCTCCTGGGGTCCCAGAGAGCCCCATCGGTAACCACTAGATCGTCTGTCGCGTTGAACCCGACGTTCGGGAGCGGGTAGAGGGGCCGCGACCGCGCATCCCAGAGCCTCGCCAACACGCTGCCGGTTTCCACGTCCAGGACCTGTTTCATAATCGTTATCGTTATCGTTATCGTGTTTGTCTCTCGTCAGAAATAACATCGTCACCAGGACCTGTTTATTGTTTATTCGGTATTGTTTTCGTCTCTGGTTAGTACTGTACCAACATCGTCACCTTGGCGACATTATCGTTGCTACGCCATGGTATTGGTCATCATTGTTGTGTTCCGTCGTTTCATTGTTATTGTTATCGGTACCCATCGTTTTTCCGTGTTATCGTTGAGTTTTCGGTCACGTGAGCATCATCATTTTTCATCAACGGTGTCACCGCTATCGCTGCGTTGGTGCTGCCGCTATCGTTCCATTTGCGTTGACGGCGGAGGTACGATAGAGGGTGGACGAGGTGGACACTAACTGCACATTCTTGCACACACCCCAACCCTCATGATGGGCAGTGGCTATCGGCACCAAGGATTCGATTGCTTCACAGCTGACGGGTACGCAATTAAACTCCCACGCAAGGCCGCCTGCAGACGCAGGACGAGATAACACAAGATGCGTGCCAGAGGAAGTGCATGTGTATCGGACAACGGCCATCCGATCTGCGCTTCCGGTAGCCCGAAGGCAGAGTACATCGGGTTTCTGCACTCTTCCATACCGGCAACTTAATGACCCGGTGTCAAACGGGAGGGGGGAGGGTTCAAGTCTTGTTGCCGCTAAGCGAGCGGGGGTGCGAGAGGTACGACTGTCGTCATAGTTGTTTCTATTTTCGCGGCGTGCTTGTTGCCACTGTATGGTCGTACCATTGCTCTTGCCATCGTCGTCATCATCAACTGCTTGTAACTGTATTCTTACTCATATCCTCCCAGTCGCGAGGATATTGAGCTTGGGGTTACCGTTTTGGATTAGGGTTACGAACCCTCCCTCTCTTCCACATACAACGCTGAACAGAGGTCTTATTTACCGTCTGTCAGTGACTCTTTAGGTCTAACCAGACGTTGAACCTAGGTTCCTCACATGGGATGTGTCACACACCGTGGCCAACCCAACCCAACCCGGCCTAGCGGCCGCTAACTGTGCTAAACGCGGCTGCACAGTTGTCGGAATGTGGAATGGGGAGAGGTCGCCGGAGAGGAATCGACCGCCCGAATCAACGCTGGACCAATCAGAGGGCGTAAAAGTTCGTAGATGGGAAGAGTCACTGCCAGACCGTAAGACGTAAGACTACTGGCTGAACATCCTTGAGAATGCGGTTCTTTCCTCCCTTCACCTGAGCACCCCACGTCTGATTGTACCGCTGGTCTTCGCCGAGCCCTCCGATCTGCGGGTAGACGACCGCCGCGGCGCGGGTTCCCCCGTGGTCGAAGCGAGCGGCGCGAAGCCCTTGCCACCTGAAGAGCGGCTGCTCTTCCTGAAAATGGTGGGGACCGGCCGGTAAAAAAATGATCAAGAGAAGGGCGATGCAAAATTCTCAATAAAGGCAAAAATGGTCGAAACAGGCCAGTGCAAAATTATCAATACAACAGTGGCTACGGTTCAGGAGAGGCTAATTTACGGTTGAAGAGAGGCTTGGGACAAGCCAACACTCTCTTTTAAACCCGGTGTTCTCTTCAAAACGTTCAATTCGATTGTTCTCTTGAATAATCTCACTTAAACCGTAGGCGCTAACGCAAGGGCATCACCCATTGTGTTTGTCGGCGAAATTATTCCGTGTTTTCGGGAGCGAGCACGAGTGGAGGCGTTCTCCGTGGTGGCCGGTAGCTTCGGACAGAGTGTCGGGAGCAGGAAGACAGCCGACTGCTGTTGCTGCCGTTGTTGCGGCTTCCTGCTGATATGAAACGCAAAGCCGATGTATTTCCTTCGGCAGGCCTGCTACTGCACGGGCCTTGCAAGTGCTAAAAACTTTGGGGGTCCGCAGACCTCCTCCGTGCAGGATTGCTGTCCCTGGAGCCATGACGACCCCAGGAGGATGGAAACAGGGGATCGGAGGGCAGAGTCGCCTCGCAACCGACCGGCTCGATCGGCGCTTGACGTAAGCCACAACTGGAACAACAAAAACATGAAATTGTTCTTACATTGGACGGCACAAGTCAGAATCGTGGAAAAAGAGCAACTCCTCCACTGAACAAAACCGACTTTTGAGGGCTTGTGTACAGCGGATACCCGGTTCTACCTTGACTTGTGGGCTGTTGCCGCTTTGAGGTCAAACCGACTCTTGACGTAAACAAACACCCCCGACGATAACCGCGACAGCAAACGCGACAAAAACAACAACAACGCACCTGCTGGTCGGCATCTTCGGGATTGACGTCCGTCCCGCCTAAGGCTTTCCACAACAAGGCTTCCGAATCGGAGCCGGAGCCAACGCTGGTAAGGAGTAACGGTGACATGCCCGATCCAGCCGGAAGGCTGCAGGTGGGGTCGTGGGGAGAAGGGGGCGGGGGGCGCGGGGGGGAGATGCATAAAGAGAAAACTGTCAGGCTCTTCAACGATAAGAGAGAGAGAGAGAATCAACAAAACTATTCAACGACAACTTGGAGACACGTTAACGTAAGTCGAATGGAAACGCAACCACATGTTTCCCCCAGTCAGCGTTGTGGACACCCATACGCTACGTAGGTAGCTATCTGCGTGGTGCAAGCGGGTTCGGTTGAAAGCACCAGCTGGGGACGTAGTCTGCTTCCATATCGAAAGCCCCCTGACCTCCCAGGCACGGTGCCTGCAAGGTCGAAGACTGTAACAGACACCATACCTTTGGCAGGTCGGTTTTCGAAGCTCGATGCCGCCATTACGGCATGAGACGGTGTTGCATACGGTAGAAAGTTCTCAAGGGCAGGGTTTGAAACTCTCCCGAGGTCTCCATTGCGATGACCTCGAGGGCCTAGGGCACAATGCTCTTAGCGGTGGTTGTAGAACGCCGTTTCGCAGGGGCATTTTCGACAGCAGGTTCACTCGTGGCTGCGGTTGGAGTACTGAGCACAAGAAACTGACCATATCATGGCGGTGACGTGGTTTCACGCACTTCTCTTGACGTTCGACGCGCCAAACCTGTTTCTATCGAAGTGCGTCGTTGGACACACGATCGAGAGATGTGTGCGTCGCCAGTTGTAAATTGACGAGGCACGGTGTTCAAGCCTCGAACGCTTAGCTACCGATCTCCTCGACCGAAAAAACAGAAACCAAGGCAACGACAACAGCAACACACCGACCACCAATGGCAACGATACGAACAACCCGTCGCAATCTACTCTACCTGTAGCTGTGTGTGTTTTGGTTTCGGTTTGGTTTTTTTTTTTTAACTCTTCAGTTTTGGGGACGCCCTATATATATATCAAGCGAAAAAATAAAATAACAGAAGCCAATGTTCCAACAAAATTAAAATTCCCAACAATGACGTACTAACCTCCGGCCGACTCTACTGTCCCCCGGGTGCTGCTCGATGCTCGTCACCGGGTGCTGGCTCACTCGCCATCGTCCCTCCACGCCCATCGAAAACGTCTCCCAGAGTTTCACAACTCCAACGTGCGTGCCGACCCACAAGCGGCTGAAGGTATAGGGAGTGGTGGAGTGGGGGGGGGGGGGGCGTGTACTCATGAGTCGTGCATGCCGTAGTCGTTAGACCATTGACCTCGCATCCCTACAAAGCCGGGACGGAGCACGCCGGGTTCTCACCGGACCAGGCTCTCACATCACCAAGCGCGAATCGCCGTGAGGTATTTGGCGAGTCGCATGAAGGGTGAGCTGCATCCTGCTAAGGGTGTTCGGCATCTTGTGCTTACTTCCTTGCGTACGGATGACAGCTACGTATGACTTAATTTATTTTCTGATGACAGCTACGTACGAGGATGCTTGACCATTTCAACACAACGTGGTGCGATCATCCCCCGTTTCGCGGAGTGAGGGTTCTCCACCCCGCACAACATGATCTACTCGACCCTCATTCATGGTTACCGCCAAAAAAAAAAAACGAGGTAAAAATAAAAAACGGTAACCTGGTTGCCGAGTTCACGAAGTGAATTGGCTTGTTTTACAACGTCGTTGCC